CTGGAGTTGAGAAAGTTAAGGCAGGTGCAGAAGGAACAGGCACGCTGCTGTCACCACCTCTACGAGCAGGGGGCAACACACCTCAGAGGGACAGGAGCACGCCAGCCAGGGCTTCGGGGACTCTGGGTGGTGCAGATCCCCCACCTCGCTGCTCCCTGCGCTATGCAGGACACCTGAGCCTGGGTGTGTCACCGACAGGGGCTACAGCACGAGAATTTAGAGGGACAGTGCCCCAAAGGTGTTTTCATGAAATCAGAAACTGGGCGGTACGTCCAAGAAGTCCTGCCAGCCCATGTGGGCCCGAGGAAGCCCCTCCATTAGCTTCCCGGCGAAGTCCCAGGCCTGTTCCACTCAACAGAAGGTGAACCAATGACCATGACAGCAGCCTCGGAACACACCGCGTGGTGAGAAACAATCAAAAGGTTTTATGTGACACCTTGATTAAGCTCATTAGTTTGAAAGGAACGTCGTGAATTACACTTCCTAAATGTTACCCGCTCTGACCCTCGAACAGGCCGAACTAAGCTCCTCCACTATTACGGAGCATTTCCCTTCCGGGGATCTTGTCACTCACTCCTGCTCCCCCGTGCCTTGTAAGCAAACCCATTCACAGACTAGCAGCCCCCTGAGATGACCTTGTCCGACCTGCTAGTCTCAGGCAAAGTCACAGCCACAGGAGGCACAAGGCCTCGGTCAGGCCGCCTGGCTATGACCTGCCTGCCTGAGATGAGAAGCTAAGGCACTGATGTTGACCTTGCATATTCCCCTGTGTGACAGGAACCTTTCTCTTGTTCAGTAACAACAATAGTTTACGCCTAAAAATAACAATATTCTATACCTACAGCAGTACCTCTGTCTTCAACCTGACAAATTTAAAGTTAAAAATTCACTAGATTCTTAAGAAAACTAAATAGTTCTGTTTAATACTAATCAATTGAATTCAATTTTTAAAGAATGTATTAAATAACTATAATGTACAAAGCACAGTAACAATGAAATAAGGGATTGCTAAAAAGCATAGAATTATAAAGTAAAAAAGTCAAAACATGTATTTTCATTTTAATTTTAACTTTTATAATAGGCAAGGTTACATAAACACGGAACCACAGAAAAAAGTAATTTTGATAAAAGGCTTCTTAACAGTCACAACTGACATCTGACATGTGTTTAACATGAGGAGGAAGTCTCTTAGGGGTAAACACATCAATCAGTCGACTTGAACTTGGAGAGAGAGCGCACGCACGGGGCGATGCAGGGACCGCCCTGCTCCTCTCATTTCCGGCCCCTGTGGAACACGGCCACACTAATGTCTCGAAAGCACGGCTCCGGGGACGGCTAATGCAATCACCGTTCTCAAGGTGTTTCCCCTGTTGGTGGGAAAGCACAACGCTCACAGTCCTCGTCCGCACACAGCTGGGGATGGCTGCATGGCTCAGTTTGGTCAGTGAGACTTAAGCAGAAGGAAGACGGCTGGGGCCCTTCTGGGAAAGCTCTTAAATCTCTAAAAAAGGGACAGTCAGAAAGGTGGCACTGTCCCTCTCTTCTTTCTGATGATGATGCAGAAGCAATGCCTGAGGCTGCAGCCGCCATCTTTCTATTAAAAGGCAACAAGCAAGGGGCCAAAAGCGAATTTGCCAACGATGGCAAAACAGAGAGAGAAAAGAGGCTTGAGTCCATGCCGTCTTCATTCATCTGCTGAAACAACTGAGATCTCCTTCTTTCAGACTTGCTAAAAAAAGTCTCATTTGTTTAAGCCACTGTTAGGTATTGTTACATACACAGCTAACTGTCAGGTATTCTGTTTCGCCCACAGCTGAAAGTATCCCTGAGAAATCTATTTCAGTAGTTTTCCTCTCAAAGCCCGTCTAAACTCCTCAGTCTGACCACTTCGAGTGGCCTGGGCCCAGCCTATCCTTCCAACGTGCCTGTCCCTTCTTTCAGGGACCCAGCAATTTCCACGCCTGGATCTTCCCAACACACCCACTCCCTGTGCACATGCCTACACCCTATGACTCACGGACAGAATCTCCATCTTGTCCTCATCACCTTGCCATTACCTTCGCCAGTCCTGAGCCCACCTCTGTGCTTCCACAGCGTGGAAGTACCTGGAGCACAGTAAGTATTCAAAACAACGACAGGGGAAATAAATAAATGAGTGAGTCAGTTCTCTGTATTTCTCTAAATTAGCACTTATATAATACTGGGCTATTTTAGAAAATACTCTGATGAGCATTTTTTTTGTCTTATTTCCTGCAGTTTTAGATTCACACAGATGTCAAAATTAGCCCTTGGACAAAAACCTGGGATTTGTTTATATTAATAAACAGGTTCAACAAAAGATATTGAATTGACCTTTCTCTTCACTTTAAAGTATGAACATTAATTACATGTATTACAGTATTTACAATCCCTGCAGAAGCAAAGTGCTCTGTAATTACCAAGTTTCTCTCCTTCAAAAGGCTAGGTGAAAATGCCATAACATTTACCAAAAACAAGAACAAAACCAAGTAAGGTGTTATGTGTTACAACAGACAATGGAGACCCAAGGGAAACCAAAAAAAATAATTTAGATAAACATGAAGGTCTAGATAGTCTCCCAACTCTTACAATGAAAGCCTGAGGTGAGATGCTACTCATGTGAAATACAGGCCCTCGGGGAATCAGGGTGAATTCATGCTGCTATGAAAGATATTTAAGCCTGGAATTAACCTGAAATCTACCTTCCCTCTAGGTTTCACTTCGTCTTAGAAGTCAAGAAGAAATTGCTGTAATCTGAAACATATGAGTTCCTTTCATGTACTTGAAGCAATAAAGCTTCTAGAGTGTTGCTCCAAGAGACCAAATCAAGTTTTCCTAAATAGGCCTAAACCCAAAACCCTCTTTCATGGGAAAAAGGATTAGAAAATTATAACAGCTGTGCATGAACAGAGTTAGTTCAGCTTTTCTCACAATAGATATTTCACACACATACAAATGGAACCAAAGTTTCACGAAAAAAAAAAAAACACACCACCTTTAGTACAGCTAAAAAGTGCACTTTCACACTTTTTTCCTTAAAAAAAAAAATAGTGCTAATTGGTTTGCAGCTAACCATACGCATCACCCATCAGTGGCCCTGTAAGGGACCATAGTTTGAAAAACACTGACTAACACTTAAGTCTCACCAAGACCTGTAGGCATTTCCCCCAGACGACAACTTAACATCCACAACACCACACACGAAATGCTTACAAGTTTCTCTGAGAAAGCTACTCAGAAACCTGCTTGTTATTTCGATGTTGCCCACGACCTGCCTCTGATGAGGAGACAGAACTGCGGAGGGATGTTGCCACTCCTCAGTATCTCCAGCACAGGAGGGGTCATAAAAAGGGTCAAACAGACACCTCCCCCTGTGCAGCAGTCCCCTGGGCGAGGCCACGGTGTGTAGGCAAACCCCTCGTGTTCTCCCAGGAGAGCAGTGGGTCCCAGAGCTGCTCAAACGTGAAGAAAACAGTCCCCCTGGAGAAAGCAGGTGGGCAAGACGGAAGGTGGTCGGCCACGCGGCCCTGGGCGAGAACACAGCCCCAGCAGCACCCCCCCCCCAACTGCCTCTGCAGCGCCCGGCACTTCCCTCTCGCTGCTTACTGCTGGAGGAGAAAGTGAGCCTTGCTTTTCAAAACGTGTGTTTTAAGAAAAACACAAGAACTCTGCACACAGAAGGGACGTGACCCTCCCCCCCCCAACAAAACCTTAAGTAAACTCCCCACACACGAAAGGAAGCGCTGCAGAGAGCGCCCCACCCACTCACCCTTCTCACTGACCAGCCCCCTGGCTCCCCCCAGGGCCCAGGAACCCCCCAAGAAAAGCAACAGCGCAGTAACAACCCAGCACACTCGATGATCTTGACCTAAGGCAGCAAATGCTCGCACTGCCCACTGCCCACTGCCGTGTGTGTTCTCTCCCAGAACCTGCGCTTGTCCCCAGCTCTCTGCACCTGCCCCTAGTCCGGGCCTTCCTAAAGCTCCAGCATGGGGCGCGCCACCAGAACCCACCTAAAGCAACACTTCTCCGGCCGTCACTGCACACCTGCCCGACTCGGGCCCTCCCCCTGAGCTGGCAGACTGTCAGAAATAAAGGAACACCGGCCAAACCAGATGACCCTTCCTTCTCCCTGTCTGCCTCGCCTTGCCTCTCGTGGCTGCCACACAGGACGTCACTGCCACACAGGACATCACCGCAGCACAGGACGAAGCAAACCAACAACACTCTCTGGACAGCTGCTCTAACAGAGAGTATGATTCTGAGGAAGTGACTGAACTGTGAGTTTTATGTTACCTTACAGCTACAAAAACATGTTCTCACATAGCTAAAGTGGAAGTATTTCTGAATTCTTTCCTTGTGGTAAGAAATTTTAGAAGTGCTCAGAGTCACCACCTCTAGCAACGCAGAGGAAGGCTGTGGTCTGGACAGACCGAGAGGCGACCGAGGCAGCGCGGACTGTGAGGACTCCAGGCTGTGACGGCCACGCCGACCCTACGACTCGACACTCTGTGATGCCGGTGCACTGAGCCACCTTCCTCTTGAAGAGACTGTCATTTGTGTTTCCCAATATGAGGGCTTTGTGAGAAACCGAGGCCTTCACAAAGGCGGTAACTAAGTAATTCGTCAGGTTGAATGGAAGTACCAGCTGCTCCCAGGAACACCAAACTGAAGGGAACCGCAGAGGTGGAGCTTGCCCCTGGAAGAGCGGTCTGGGGTGGGGGGGACACCAACGGAAACGGGGTGGGTCTCACAGGAAGCACAAGTTAAGAATCACTGGATCTCACACTGAAAAATACACTTGTTTAGGCCTCTTCCTGTACGGGAATTCCTACTCCCCCAATCGATACATTTAATTCCTTAGGATAACGTTTCCAATGATTTAACAGCTCAACTCAAGCTGTTCACTACTTTTTTTTTGGTATGATTAACACATTGACATAGCTTTTAAAATGATGTCTGGTAATAGAAAAAAAAGGTACCTTTTCCAATTCTCTTGGTATTCGCATACAAGTGTACACTCTTTCTCTTCTTTCTGTATACTTGGCCTCGTTATGTTCGAGGAAGTACCCTCTTGTAAGTTCGGCACTGAGGAACCTCAACAATGAAAGCTCTACAGGAGAAGAAAATGACACAAAACAAAAGAACAGTATTTATCAAGGAACTTACATGCTAGCTGGGGCCACAGGTAACACATTTAAGTAACAATGACAGATTAAAATAAAGTCATCTATAACTCTGTCCCCAAAACTGAACCGTGCATAAATCACTAGCAAACACTGTTGAGAAACTGCTGCTCTTTGTGGTATAAACTGAAAACTGAACAGAAATACAGAAGGCACAATCACTACAAGCTGGAATAGCCGGAAAAGTATTTTGCAAGAGTGCAGCCCTGGGTCTTACTGGTTAAACATACACAACTATGAAGGCAAGAGAAAAGAGCACATAGCAAGTGTACATAAAGTGGATGGATGGATACACACACACACGCACACATGCTTTTTTAAACGAAGTCAGGTCGCCTGACAGGCGCTGCTTCAGCCCAAGAACCATCCTGGGTGAAGGACACGGATGCTGGTACAACCTCGTCAGCATCGGATCCCGCAGAAGCGCCTGATGGCGCCATTTCTCTAGGTGAAGGCTCACCGACGTGGTGCTGGTCACAGCGTGGGGGAGGGAGACACTTTGCCCTCAAGGTCCTATCAGCTGGTCTAACAATCTGATAAATATGAGACACATCAGTAAGAGAAAATGACCAAATTCAATCACCTACATATGTGTGGGAACCCCTGCGTACATGAGAGGCTCAGAGACAAAAAGGGGAAGATAAGGTAGACAAGACACTCCGAGCTGGGGTTCAGGTGAGGCACCTCGAGGCTCTGGGAGGTAACTGCACGTGCTCAGTAACTGTGAGCTTGCCCTGCCCGCAGACAGGTTAAGAGTATTTCTGGTGGTAACTCTTATCATGGGCCAGGCCCCTAGTTTAAATGCTTCTAGATGGTTGTGGGGGCACGGGGGGGAAGGGGACAGAAATTTCTGTTGAGCCCACAGGGTCTCGGCTGCCTTCAGCTCAAAATAACCCATGCACTACTGAGGCACACCCCCCTCAGGCCAGCTCGTTCTGAACGCCCGACTATACCATATACTAGGTCATACAGAGCAGAACTTCGGATCTGGAGGACCTCCCTCTCCCTGGATCTCCCACCCGCCCCCTGGTTCCTCGGCCCCTCCAGAACAAATTCAGCCAGAGTCACCTCGTCTCAGATGAGCAACGCAGGGCCAAATGGGGTCGGTGTTCCCCACTGGGCTACGGCTGGCCCACCCGAGATGAGAAGCCAGGCTGCCAAGGCCTACCCCGGTCACTTCCGTCCTGTCGCACTCCTCGCAGCAGCCCATCACCCCGGTGACCCTCAGGACCTTGGCTTCACACGTACTTTCCTACTCACACCCCCCACTCCCAGGAGGCCGAGCTCTCTTCCAGAACCCAGGATGCCACAGGATTCAAACTGTCCTCTTTGCTCTGAGCTGGCCTTCTGGTCCTTTTACCAAATGCAGTACTGGTGTCCCCTCCCGAAAATGACGAAGGGGGACGGTGATTTCGTTTATGTTTATCTACCTAAGGAGTTGAGTCTTGTGGGAGTGCTAAGTCTGCGTGCACGGGGAAAAGAGTAGAAGCCCTTCGGAAGACTCAGAGGCTGACCTACTAATCTGCCTACAACAGCTTACTTCCTCCAGCACTTCAAACAGATCGCTAGTTCTCTGAGCATCGAGTCAAGTGGCTTGCTTATGTTTAGATGATATTCCCAAAAATAATCATCATTACGCACGCACATTTCTTAAATACCGGATTCATAATCTGTTCGGAAGCTGCCCAGGATTGGAACAGATGGAGAGGTGGGCAGGCTCCCGCCCCCTGCAGCCCAGCGCAGGGACGGGCTGAACCACCGCGTGCGCCGTGAACACCCGACTTGCGGGACGCGCACGGTGGCCGGTACACAAGACGGGCACTCCACTGTCTACACAGACATTCGATGCACAGGCCTCCGTGCAATCATGTCTGTGCAGAGGGCAACTTCTGGTGAGGAACTTTCTAGTCTGCTGCGGGCTGGCTAAAGCCAGAACAAGGTCTGCTGCCCGAAGGGGAGAAAAGAAGGCCTTTGAGTGCAAACGAGAGAAGCCAAAAGCAGTGAGAGGGCAAAAATCGCCCTCACACTCTGTCCAGTTGGATTTCCGATCAGAGAGAAAAGGGTGTCCCAGTTGGCAGGTGTCTATAAATACCAGATGTCTCACGTACCAGCGGAGAAGCAACAGGACACGCAGAAAGCAGAAGAGCCTGCACTCAGACGAACTGTCACGGATGCCAGGGAGGTCGGAGTCACTTCACGGAACCCCTGAGCGGCAGGCACCTGCTCCGCAGTGCCCCTACGCCTCCCTGCCCCTGCCCCCCCGGCCGCACTCCTCTCTCCACTCTCTCTCCTGTGGCCGACTTTTCCATCCTGAGGGTCTCTGTCGGACCCTCCTCCGCTGCCTCACCCCTAAATATTTGCTTTTCAGTGCTCTATTCACCACACCCCAGCAGGCTGGTACTCTCGAATGCATCCTCAGTTCCTGTCTCTCTTTTTCTGTTTTTCCCTTCACGTACCTTCCTTGGATGGTTGTAGGTCCCAACCATCCTCTCAATGCTGAAGTCACCGTATCTTTAGCTCTGGCCCCTGAGCCTGGACCCATGTTTCTAACGGCCTCCTGGGCAACTCCACCTGGAAATCCCTCAGACGCCTTTACCTGCAGAGCCGAGCTCAGTGGCTCCCCCACCTCACCCCACCCGCAACCCCACTGCAGCTCATGGCATCAGCAGACAGTTCTATGCTAGAAGCTCAGCTCCGATGCTGACCGAGTGTCTCTCCTCTAACCAAGCCCTAGTGATTCTTGCTGGGAAACACTGCGCCTCCCCTCCCTCCCCGACTCCAGCCTCACGGGCCCCATCCTCTGTCCGCAGGTCACTGCGAGAGCTTCTGGATGCGCGCCCTTCTTCCATCTGCCCGCCCTTCAGCCCTGCCCTGGCCTCCCAGAGAGTCGGCGAGCTCACACACCAGGGACACCCTTCAGCAGCTCTTTGTCACCTCTAGGTAAGGTCCTACATCTCAGCAGTGAGGACACCAGATCCCTTGCAACTTGGCCACTGCCATCTTTTCAGCAGCGTCTCACACCTGCCTGCCCTGGATCTCTGGGTCACAAATCTCCAGTTACACCACTTTCCGTTTTTGGTGAACACGTCGGTCGGTCGGCTCACACTGCTCACTGGCCCGAGGACCCCCTTCCGGTTTTGCGCAGGCACGCGGGCACAGACACGGCCTGCTCCGTGCAGCCGTCCCCGAGGGTCCCGGGTGAACCCACCCTCCCCTGCTCAGTTTCCACGGCGTCACCTCTGCCTGTGCTTCCCTGGCCCCTTTATACTCACTTTCTTGTCTGGTTTTCTGCTTTACTTTTGTGCCCTCTGGGCATAGCACACAGTAGGTGCTCGGCAAATGCTTGCTAAGATGATATATGGATCAGAGAGGAGGAAGGACGATCACAGAGATGTGCGGCAGAGAACAGAAACAGAATCAGAAGCCAGAAGAGGCGGAGATGGAGAAGACCCTCAGAAGAGAGCCCGGGACCAAGACGGAGCTGTCTGAGACGGGGAGCAAGCCAGGAAAACAGGAAAAGCTCCTGGTGCCTCCGTGGGCACAGCAGCCATTGAAGACAAGGGGCGTCTACTGTGTGTGTGTGTCTAAGTAACCGTCGAGGGAGACCCAACCAGTACCCGAACCTCCGCCCCATGCAGTCACAGCCGGAGAGTGCCCTGGCGTGTGCAGGCCGGACTCGTGCCGTCCACAGGAAGTGTAGGGAGGGAAGCTGGGCAGCCTGCCGGTGTGTCGGCCATGCTGAGGAGAGATGCTGAGCCTTGACCATGGTAAGACTTTTGTCACGGCCCACCAGAGAAAGCACGGGATGAGAAATCAGCAGGAGGGGCCCTGGCACCAGCTCTGCCGCACGGCAGTCCTGTGACCCTGCTCTGGTCATGATCTCCATTTCACAGAAGGGAAACTGAGGCCTAGAGCAGTTTCATAACGCCTGGTACGCGCCTGCCTTCCCATGGGATGGCTGAAGGACTGAGAGAGGATTTATGTGAAAGCACAGGAAAATCACAAAGCGTGACACGTGTCCTCAATGACTTACTACTAACTTCCTAAGATCCACACAGTAACCAATTCTAGCTGGTGGTTACCTCATGTTCATTGACGCTACTTTTACAACCCTGTTTCCATGCATGAAAGATCATCTGACAAGTAACTTTCATTAACTGTATGACTTGCATAACCACTTTTCTGCAAAACAGTTTTACAGCATAAACCTCAGAAAGTGTTTCCACTATATTATAAATAAAACAGTGTTGTCAGGATTCCACCTCCAGAAATGCACGAACTTCACTTATAAACACCAATTTACACTCCACAATGAGGAATTTAAAAATAAGCCCTTAAAAATCAAATGATAACGATACACTCTGAGCGCACAGCTCTCAAAACTGTGAGACGGGGTCTACTGTGATGTCCAGTTTCTAGATGAAGGAACCGAGGAGGACGGAGGAAGCAGGCGGCAGAGGCAGATTTCAAAGATCAAGCTGTCGATCCCTGACGTGTGCTTTCTGACACTCGATTATTCTATCACTGTCTCGTGCTTTTGTAAACAGGCCACTGTGCTCTTTCTGGACAACTGGGTCCTCCTCCATCCTGCCTCGTCTGTGCTCCCACAGTCCTAGTCTTCTTCATTAGAAGAAGTCCCATGGTTAACCAGTCAGCTCCCTGCATCCCCGGAGCTCTCTGAAAGCAGGTACCATGTATCTGTGTCTTCCAGATGTCTGTAGTGTTTGTGTACAAGTAACACCATACTAATGGGCACGGGCAGGGTTTTATGAGATACATTAATGCAACACTAACAAAAGAACCACATTTCACCAGTGAAATACTTCAAAAGCTTCCTTCTCCCACCCTCCTGGAAAACTGGCCCTCTTTAAGGGATCAGCGGCCCCCCTCTTTATGGCGAGAGGCAGTTTATGAAGGTCTTACACAC